GAGAAATCAGAAGGCATGAGAAGGGCTGAAGATGTGCTGAGTGCCAGAGCGAGGCCAGAGGGCAACTGTGCCTGGAGTTTGAGAACATGGCAGGGAAGGGTGTGTTTCTTTTCCTGTGGGACACATGGATGCCGTGCAAGGTAGCACAAGTTATCTTGAGAGGACCACACAAAAGGGATGTTTGCTGGGGTGAAGGGATCCCAAGGACTTTCCAAGGGTAGGAGAGAGGGTTTTGCAAGAGATTAGCCAGAGAATGTTTCACAAGCTTCAGGAAATGCCGTCTGTGTGAGCTTTTGATATTTTGAACATTCATCCTATGCAGGGGCATTTGACAGAATAGAAGGGTCCACAAACAGACCTGTGCTGGGAAGGAAATAAGATTTGAATTGGAGATTGAAGTTTTGATATTTGATTGGATTGGACATTTTTAATTTCTGAAAAAGTTTTCTAGTATCTAGAAGTAAGCAGAGAGTTGTGGAATTTTCCCAGGGATTTTACTGGTGGGAAGAAAACCTGATGGCAGGTTTGGGAAAGGTGTGGAGAGAAACTGGAATTTTGTTTGTCTCCTGGCATGCCAATCTACTGGTCATAGTCTGTGTGAGCTCATGTTGCATGAACGATGGTCATTTGAATGATTTGTTCTTCACACCTTCTCTCATCAGCCTGCCACTGGCCGGAAACATGGCCAGGAATTTCAGAATTAATGTCTCCATGTTGTTAAATCATCTTGTGTTACTTCCTGTAAATTTATCTTCTTTCCTATGTTTGTGACAGAAAGTTTCAAATTAAATAAGAGGGTAAGCAATAGTTTGGGAATTTCTCTTCTGAAAGGCTTAAGCTCAGAAGGTAGAAGCAATGGAATGAAACCAAGAGAAATTGGTTAACATGTTATTGGCTACAAATAATAGAAACCCAGATGCCAAAGGTCTTAAATAACAATCACACTAATGTCTCTCATAGACAAGTAACTCCTAAGTAAGGTGGACCTAGGGGCTGGGTGATACTGTGCCTCAACGATACCAAGTTTCTTCTTTAAATATTTTCTCCAACCTGCTCTCCTTTTGTTTGTTTCATTTTCAGATTGGTAGGAAGCAGGCTGGATCAGTTTTAAACAGCACGTTTATGGGCAGTAACACCCAGGTAAAGAAGAAAGAGTCTTTTCTTTCCTTTTCTAGAATCCCCCCTAACAGCATTTCCCTACATTTCCTTGTCCAGCATTGCATTACATTTTTATTCCCAAATCAATTTCTGACTAAAAATATAGAATTAGCCACAGTCCATTGAGGTTGACCTGGAGTTGAGGTTCATGCTTATAGAAGGAAAGGTGAATATTTAGACAAACTTAGATTCTACTGAAAAGTGAAGAACAGGGCACCAATATTGTTCATCAGAGAAGATATGGAGATTTTTAATCTTAGTGGAAATGTGCTTTCAGTGGATAGAGACCTGAGACACACTGTATGATGCAAATATGTGTCTGAGCCAAACTGGGCATCCAGAGCAGTTACTGAAACTGCTTTCTGGATGACATCACATCACATCACATTACAATTAAGACATATTATGAAAAGGCTTATGTATGGACCTCACTTAAAATTAAAAGGCCTCTCAAAAGAGACATGGTATTTTGCTGCGGGGCCTTTATAACGAAGTAGATCTCCCAGATGCCCAATTGAGTTAACTCTGCATTGAATAACTATGTCCACACTGGACGCATCACACTGAAGTTTTAAAATGCCTTCCTCTGGTTGTGGGGACCCTTTGCTTCAGACGAGGATAAGAAAAGAAGGAATATGTTCTTATGAGTGTAGTTGTTCTTCTGCCTTTGTTATAAATGGAACATTTCAAGAAATACTATCTTTCTGAGTGGCTAACTATTAAATTACTCTAGTTATGCCCTGGGACAGAGATGATGTTTTTAAAAACTTGCAAAAATTCTAGAAGATTATTCAAACTTAACGCTTTTTAAAAGCATAGCTTTCCAGCACTAATCTATTAAAGTTTTTCTTGGAGCCATAATGTGTAGTTTTTGTTTTTCCAGTATAGTACTTGAGCAGAATAGTATGGGTTGGAAATTTTCATTCTATCATATCTATTATTCTGGAAAGCGATCGGAATATTTAATGCCAGACTAGCTCCTTCACGAATAATACGTGGGGGGAAATTTCACTCGTTTCACTGGCAGCTTATATTAATGCTCCTCACCTTGAATGCCAAATATAGAAGAAAAAGAAATCCCAGAAGAGAGACATTGTTTTCTTTCTTTATTTCTTTTTCTTTTTTTTTAGAAGACATATTTTTGCTCCATAATTTTTCTTGGTTAGATGATTTTAAGTTCTCCTCTTCTCCATCTCTCTTGCTTATTTACTCCAGGAATGCAAACTTGACCTTGACTTTAAGGTCAAAGCATTTTTAGACTGTGCAGTCAGCAGAGAATAGAAAAAAAATCAATGTGAAACATATTGGAGAAGAATGAGGGTAAGAGTAAAGTAGAAGTGCTGGGAACTCATGCAGGGATTGGAATCAACGAGGTAATAAAGTAAGAATGCACTACCCTGAGATTTTTATGATTCCTTTCTCTTTTGCTTCCCTTTTCTTACACGGGCGTGGGTGAAAATTATGGTAATTTAAAGCCTAATGCATTTTCAAAGCATTTTCAGGGACTAAAAATTACTTTGTCATGTAAAAATGAGATGTGTTTCATCCCCCCCCCCCCCGCCCCACCCCGAAATCCATTTTTTCTTTCTCTTTGTCTGTTGAAGATGGGGAAATGACTAGTTCATACCTGATATGGCGTACAAATTTAGGGGTGTTTCCTGAAGCTCAATGGCCAAAAATTGCACTGAAAAATTTGAGGCCTTTTATCAGAATAGTAAATAAATCTAATTTTTAGTGAAAACACATTTTGATTTTATAAAGATACATACCCCATGTAAATGCTGAATAGAATCACAGTGGAAATTTTGATAATAAAACTGTCCATGTAGTCTAGTTTTTTCTAGAATTTAGCCACAGGCCTTGGAAAAAAAGGAAAAAAGTTCAATTAGTTGTAATTTATGACAAGGATTATCTTCTTTTTTCCTCTTCATTTATAATTGTAGTCAAGAACAAATTAGGCATAAGAAGAAACAATTCCCACTCTTTGTTGAGCTTAATGTTTACTATTACTTAGTAGAGTATGATCAGAGAAAATTTCAGAATGATCAGTAAAAATTTTAACGTTTACATGTTAGATGTATGCATATTCTCTACATATATGCAAATATAAAAGGACAAACAGGTTTTCAATCATACTGCCATATAGATATGAAGTTTGTCTGATTTTAAGTAATTATTAAGGCAAAACAGACTGTATTGTGCTATCTGGAAAATATAAAATGTTTTCTCAAAAAGAGATTAGTATTAAATATATGGCAACTTCTCGAAAAAATCTAAATTAAATATGTTACACTTGAGATAAAGAGAACTGCTCTATAACTCAGATTGCCAGACATATATGTTAGAGGTGATTATGTCTAAAATACAGCCTTCATTATCTAACATTATTTCAAAGCTTATTACTTTTGTACTGACCTCACGTACTTAAATTTTATAAATGCACAATAATTCATGGAGAATAGAGCACTGAGTACATTCATGGATAACCATGAGTGTCAGCTACTGGCAGAAATGGGTATTGATGGTTTTGCCTGTATCACAGCAGAAAGTGAAGAAAATGGAAACATTTCCCCTCCACTTTTGGAAACATTTGAAATGACTCCCTGGAGAAGAAGAAATCTAAGTAGGGGGAGATACAGGTTGCCCCTTACTTTGATCAGTAGAGTAAGTTCAAAGATTGTTTCTACTACATCTTATTTTACACCTACATCTCACATCAGATTTGACAGATTCCCTTAAAGGATAAAAAAATAAAAGACAGGGACTTCTGAGCGGAATCAATTATGTACACCTTAATTCATAGCAAATCAGCAGGGCAACAAGAAAGATTCTCTCCTTTAACATTGATTTCCCTCATATTTGTTTTTTTTTCAGTCTGAACACTCCAGGCAAAAATTCACTTGGCCTCAACTAATTTGCAAATGCCATCATTCACTGCTATTTTGCTACCCATTTCTCAAATCTCAATTAAATGTGTTGACAGTTTCCCTGCTAGAAACACACAGAAAGGTCTTTCCCCAACCAGAGGTCTTCACTCATTTCCTGCTAGTGGACTTGGCAAGTGGAGTCAAAACATCCATTACCGAAGCTGAGCTTTAATTTAGAAGGTTATCACCAGAGTCAGCTAAATAATTATAAAATCCTTTACAAATGTAAACTGCCACCGAAATGTATAGTAGCAGCTGAGAACAATATATAGATCATGAGACCTATTTACAATGGATTTTTAAAAGAATGCATTTTAGATTCTTACTCGTGGAAAGCTTGCATAACCTTTTGAAGAACCCCTAGGATGAACTGAAAATGTCTTCTCACTGCAAGTGTTTTTTCTATTAAAACCAAAAATAACAACAATAAAAATGACTCTGCAAATCTTGGTGCTCTGGCTCAAATTCCACTTTCCCTGCAAAACTAATAGCAAGGAATGATAGGGGAGAGAGTTTTGACTAAAGAAATGCCAATTGAGGGGGGAAAATGAAAATGTTGCTTTCCTTATTTCTTCTATACCAATAATTTAATATAAAATATAGAATTCAGTGTAAGTATAATAAAATATGAAATTAGTGTGCATTACTTTGAGAGTATGGACTTTAACAAATCATAGAATGTTAGAAATATGCTTATATATAAAATGGGTACCCACTTTATGTTAACAGTTTTCAACAAATGTTAGCTACAAAGGATAAGGAACAAACTATCAGAAGTCTTTAACAGAAACTAACTGGTCAACCCTCCTCTTTATAGCTGATGAACTGAAGCCCAAGAGGTTGAAAGACTCGCCTTCTTCATACAGTGAGCAACTGGCAGCCAGGCTCAGGGACTTCCCTGCATCATCGCTGCCACAGAACCTTTTTGGGCCTGAGCATATCGCTTAATAACAAGAGTAACTCTACCTGCCCAGGGGTTATTGATGAAAGGTAATAGAGGTTGTACGAATTCCTTTAAAATTTTAATTCGTGGCACAGTGCCTTGCATGGGGCAGGCACTCTGTAAATGTCGGAGGAACAGAATTTGTCTAATAGCTGTGGTGAGGGCTGGCTCTGATTCACTCCTCAAAGCTCATTTGTGCTCACCCCACCTCTTTAATCAGACTTCTGCAACCAGCACCTCTGACCTTTATTTCACGGTGGGAGAATTACCTGCACTACAGGAGCAGAGACAGGCAGCCTCCACCTGGTACCAGGATGGGGACAACCTTTTGCTTTTGTTCAGAAAGTAAGAAGCACTCAGTGTGACCCTGGTGTAAACCTCCCTCTGCAGTATTTAGGAGCCAAGCTGTCTCTGCCAATCTAGCTGGCCCTGGCAACCTTCATCTTATCTGTTTTTCTCTCTAGGACAGAGCAATCATTGTAAGGTATTTCCCCTCCCTGGTTTCTTCCAGCCCTGAACAGAGCACTGGGGGCAGACCCAACGGTGAGTGATGCCGAGGTCTGCTGGCCCTATAGCCTGCATGGCTTCCTGCTTGGCCTGTGTGTGTTGTTTTGGTGGACTGACTTCCACGGACATAGAGAAAAAGTGGGAAAGGGCAACTAGCTCTAAAAATGAGGAAGAAGGAAAAGAAAATGCTAAAAACCCAGTTACTCCTGCAGAGTTTATGGGGTCTTTATTTTGTCTGACCTTACAGATAGGTTGTGTTGTTTGTTGACTTGAAAAAAATGTTGCCGTGGCTTTCTGTATCCAGTAAGTACATTACTGTGTTCAGTTAATTGAATTTACATATTTTTGCTAAATGAGATTTTAAAAAGGGAATATTTTTAAAGAGCATGGAGTGGGAAGAGGTGGTATGACTTCTTTCAGTTCTATCTGCTCTCTGCCAGTCATATACTTCTCCCGCTGTCTCTTTCTTCTCCCCATCCTCCTTCTTCAAATAGCCACTATGCTCCCAGCACCAGCCACCACAGGATGTCCTTGGTACCTATTTAGAGAGAGAAGGGGAAGAAGAAGCAAAGGACAGCGAAAGACAGCATCACAGGTTGCTTTGGGAGAGTGATCAGTGTTGGACAAGTTAATCCTCCATATATCTGCAGGAATGCCAGCCTTGCCTTTCCTCCAACTAGCCCCCAACTTTGGCATCATGGTTTATCAGTCAGTACTCATGAGCTCCTAAAACAAGAGGTCAATGCATTGTGGGTCAGTGAGTGAATAACACACAGAGATGCTTCATTCGTGGAACTGTATGGCCACTGAAGTTACATGAGTTGTATGATCAAGGTTAAATCTCTTGTGTCTCCGAACCTCAGTTCCTCATCTATTAGGGATAATGCAGGCTCTGTTTCCTTCACAATGTTCTAAGAAAGAAGTGAAATATGGTTTGTGAAACCCTAAAGCATGATGACAGTCAAGGATATATAGTAACTTGTAATTTTATTTATTTTATCATACAGAAAAATTTATAAACGGAATGTTCTTAGGTTTCTCTTTCAACAAATACAGGTGATTTCATGTTTAGAGTTGAACTTGAATTTTGTAGTGGATAGAGACATAGTTTGCTGGCCATAAGCCCCCACTCACTCAAAGAGGTATGTCATTCTCTGCAAAGTCTACACCAGATAGACTGGTTCTTTATGTGCCCTCACAGATCCAGTTCAGGGCTGCCCTTACTCCAGATCCCTGCTGCTCTCCCCATCAGCCACTGCCCATCTGAAGATGAGATCCTTGCCCAGCAAACTAGACCTAGAACCCCCTGTGCCCATTTTTCATAGGTGGTGGTCTTCTGGAAAGTGAGAAGGGAAGAGCTTCCTGGCTTTGGCGTTCTACTATGTTAAAAGGGCACCTCTGTAGTGAATGGGGGGATGGTGTAGCTCACACATGTCACTAGGGGTGTCACAGGCTGCACTAGAACTGGCCACTCTGCCTGGATCACCTCCCACTCACTTTCAGTCTCATGGCTGAGGCAGGCTGGTCATGCCTGTCTTGTTCCTCTCAGAACACTTTCCCCCAGAGATTCTTCAAAGTCCTGCTGGCACTATGACTCCCTATGGCTCCCCACCAACTCAGTCCTCTAAGCATTTCTGCATGAGTTTGGTCCCCATTTAGAAATATGCTTTGAAAGTTTTCAGGAAATTCTTTATTCCCTATGTAAATTGCCAGATGTCTATAGCTTAATGGACAGAAGTTTCTTCTAAAGCTAAAAGCCAGATATATCTGGATCTTGGTTCCAGGCGAATTGGAACTGTCTTTCCTACCTCAACCACACTTATTATTATGAAACCTCCTCTGTATGGCATCAGAATGAACCCTTTATTGCTAAACAAAATGATAGACCTCTTTCAACTAATGCTCTAGAGAAATATATACTGTCTTTTATTTATCTAAGATCCATATACCTAGGAGTCACTTTATATTTAAGGTAATGAAGGTTTAAAACAGGGAGTATGTGAGAGCTTAATACTCCTTTATGTTACGGAGGAAGTAAAAAACGGCCAGATTTCTTGTTAATTAATGATGAAGAAGTTGGTTCCTTATGAAATAGAATATATGGGGTTTCAAGCAAATTTTTGTTTTTGGCAGAGCTCTTAGTTTCACGTGTCTTCTAGCATATGAGTTCAGCAACACATAAACACTTCTCACCATTTATCTTAAAACTGTAAGTAGTTCATTCACTTGATCATATCCATGCTATTCAGTGTTAGCACTCTATAAGGTGGTAAACAGAGACTATCCATTAGAAACTTAAAATCTATACCCAGAGAATAATTTATGAATCCAGTCACTCAGTCAGCATATATTCATTGAGTGTTTATTATGTGCTAGGTGCTGGAGTGACACAAAAATGAGCAAGATGTAGATTCTGCCTTGAGGGATAGCAGGTGATTTCCTCAATATGCTATATTAGTGGTATCATAACATCCAGGACTCAGCCAGGAGTTATACTGATCATAAATCGATAACCTCATTTCAAGGCTCAAACACAGAGATGGCAAATAAAGCCCAAGCCTGCCCCAGGCAGTATTGACTGAAGCAACACATGACTTATAATAGCAGCAGGCAATGAATAATTTTGCTACCAAGGATAAAGAAAAACTCTTTTCTCAATCCCTTTCATTTAAATAACGTTTGGATTTATTTTTAAAAAATCCACAAAGTTTATATTAATGCACCATCATAAATGCTTTGTCTGGTCGAGAGGGGCAAAGACTGGGAGATGCCATCTTAAGGAACAGAGTGGATTATTTGGGGGCAAATTGTCTTTACTTGCAGTATGACTGATCATCTGGTTTGCCTTTTCCCCCTTATTATTTGTGATGGTTTCTGGACAATACTGGAAGCTAATATTTCAGTGCTACCTTACTGGTCTTTTAAGAATGTGGAAGACCCAGAATAGGTGAGGCAGCCAGCAAAATCCTTAAGCACACCACCTGGGCTCATCAGCCTGACTTTCAATCCCATTTCTGTCATGTACTCAAAGTGTGATGTTGGGCAAGTTACTGGACCTCAGAGTGCCTCAGTTTCCTCATCAATAATAATAGTATGGGATGATAATAATAGTGTCATCTCTTAGGGTTGTTGTGGGGATTAAATGAGGATGACACATTCTTAATACAATGCTAGCTCATGGTAAGTGCTGTGCTAGCCATTATTGCATCCCAGTTTTAAAAGTACAAAGATAATCTCAAAGACAATTATTATCTACTTTCTCATCCTACCTTTTCTCTTGTAAAGCCACTAGCTAAGTTATAAGTGTGCAGTAGTAAGATCAGATGATTTCATGAGAAGTGAAATATATTTCTTAAGCATAATCCAAATTATGAGTAATCTATAATGTAAACTAAAATTGTTATTTAGTAATAACAATTTAAGGATATTTATTAACAGTAAATCAGGGATTTATATTTAATCAAGAATTAATTTTAATCCAGGAAATATTAGATTTGATATTTATATTTATTTCATGTACGCATCTGTTTATTTATGTTCATGAATATCTGTTTGGCCTGAAAGTAATTGAAGACAGCTTACAAAGATGCACATTATTTAGCAAGGTAATACCAAATTGAAATTAATAGGAGAAATTAGATAAAGTGAAAATAAAGATAGGAAAAGAAGACAGACTTTTGTATATGAAATTGTACCTTGAAGTCCCATGAACTTGCTGTGAGTGCTTCGCCATGTTGGTTCTCGGGTGTCTAGGGGACAATTTTAAGAGAAGAAATGGAAGCAATAATACAACTTGTTAAAATCATTATGTAAAACAAACTAGTTGCTTAGGAAAGGGATAAACATTCCTGACACTTTGATAAGAGTAATTTCTTTCATGTTGCTCAGCTTTAATAGTCATCAGAAACTTGGAATATGGTCCTTAATAGATTCATACAGTAGCTGTTTACTTAGCCTCGACCCCATAGAAATTATTGTGCCACATGCTACAGAGAACAGAGACATGTAAAACTCTCCCTTCTCTCAAAGAATATGTATCCAATAGAGAGTAGAAGCAATACATTAGTAAACTAACTTCAAGGTAGGTAATAACGAAAGGTACACGTGCGGTGTTAAAAGAAGCAATTTAAGTCTCATAGCAATCTATGGACCACCCCAGGAGAAAATATTGTTAACAAGTATGTTCTTTGTACTTTCTAATATTTTAACTCTGCTAATTTTAAATAATGGGTTTTAAATACTTAAGATTGTCAAATGTGGATTTCAAAACCACAAGAATATAGTAGAATGCATTGCCAACTCAGATCTATTAAAGGTAATTAGGGGGCAGAATTGGCATAGATACTAGGAACCTATCCCCTGACTCTGTATATATAGCTTAGAACATGAACTTATAAATTTAGTGTCAAGCCTCACATTAGTCCTTCATCTCATATTGTCAAAAATTGCTTCTGGAGTTTTCAGAGAGAGAGAGTGAACACATAGCAAAAATTCAGTCTTTTCCTAAAAGTATGGGCATTCATCCTATACATCTATTCAACAGTATTTGACATTTCTTATAATATAAGAGCAGTAGTGGGCATAGAAATACAACAAAAGTGAAATGTGTCTCTTTTCCTGAAGAAAAACAACTCATTGTTTTGGTGGGGAGACAGATGTATAAACAAATAAGAATAGCAACAGGATAAGTGCCAATAGACATATATAAGAAAAGACAAGCTTAGCCTAGTGATGGAGAGGAAAAAGCCACACTAAGCTGCCATTTAAGTTTCTCCTTGAAAGATGAGCCTTTTGCCAAGTGGAGATTGAATGATATGGATGAAATTTATCCCTGGTAGAGAAAATGCTCTCAGAGCACCTCTAAACCAATCAATTTAATATTTCCTAAGTGCCTATCAAGGATTCAGCATGGGGTTAGGTGGGGTGGTAATTATGAAGAAATAGAGAACTTGCTATTAGTCTTCAGAATGTCTACTTGTAATAAGTAGATTAAAGTTTCCACACACGTTTAACATAATTAAGAGGTCATGACTGTA